TTTTGCACGCACACTATATTCACTTCTAGGACTGAAAATTAGTCCTTTGTATCTTTTCTTCTTCTTCTTTTAAATTGTCATAAGTACATTACTTTTAAAAAGGTTAAACATATAGATTTTATATCAACTCATTTAATACCAGCCGACATTTTTCTTCTTTCTATGCAAGCTGTTACGTTAATTCATGATTGTATTATTTTAACTTCTTGAGGCCTGTAGATGCTCTGTAGTGCAAACACTGTGTATTAGGAAGTGCTAAAGTAGCAGATGTTTGGACCAGGAAGTTAAACACATAAATTGTTGTCTTAATATTATTTTGAAAATTTGGTGATCTGTACAAATTATTGAGTTAGTATAGTTAGTAAAGATCAGTTTAGGGTAAGATGCAGTTTTACAGAAAAATTCAATGAAAAAATTGTCTTTGTCACTTTTAAGCTCTTTCCTAATACCCTCCTTCAGAGTAGATATAAAAATGGAGAAACATTTATAAATTGCTGACTGATGTGGGTGATTACCTCTTCTCCTGCTGCCTTGCAAAATCCTTCTTTTCTAGACATTTTTTTGAAACCATCATTTGGATATTTTTAACATTCATAAATAAATTTTATTACAGTCATGGTAATCGTTTTTTGATCCAGAGAAAGATTATGAACATTAACATTACACTGAGCCTGCCTTTCAAAGCGTACCTATTTTTAATATAGAAATTGACCTTCTGATGATCAGCAGCCTCCTTTTGTGGTCCCTCCACAGAAGAGGTTTAGCTTCAGAACCTGTTAATTTACTTTTCATTAAAAAAAAAAAAAGATTGTAATGCCTTTTTGCAAAGTACCACTATATGTACTTTTAAACACAATTTTTTTTTAGATATGAAGCTATTCTGTGTGTAGTAGATTTATAATGGAAAAAAAAAGCTAAAGTATTTCTGGTGTGGATGGTCATGGATATAGTATCCAGATCAGATCATTGTGCTGAATTATAAATATAACCTGATACACAATGGGGTAAATTGAATAGGTTTTATGTTTAATCTACATGAGAACCTCTAAAGACCACCACTCTGTTTTGACCACCTCCATAGTCGACCCCATTTTCCACCATTCTATTTTGACCACCTCCATAGTTGACCCCATTTTCTGTTCTCAGTTGGTTGCCACATATTCACAGTGGAAGACTGCTTCTATATATTGACCATCTCTGTAAGCTGTATATTGAGCACTGTGACACACATTAGCATTTTACCCTCTATAACTTGACCAGCCGTTCTTAACTAGCATTTTGTATGTGTACTTTGTCACAATTAAAAATCACAGTGGCCAGGGTTTTTCATTCGATCTCAAAGAACCAAAATGAAGTGCCAAGGTAAGACTCTTAAAGAGTGTATTAATGCTGATGAGTCCTGACTCTTTTTCAAAATTTTGCCTGATAAAAAACCTCACCTTGAAGAGTGACACATGTAATACAGGGTGGACCATATTGATGGGACACATTTATATTTATATTACTGCAAACAAAAACTGTTGTGTGTGTTTTAGATGTAGCTTATTTGGAAGTTTAAGGATGGGTGGGAGTTATTATTACATGTTCCTTTCATTGCCTACCACCAAAAATAAACTAAAAGACAACATAATTTCCACCAACATTGATGCACTTCTTCCATTATTTTATCAGTCCTCCCAACCTGCTGCATAGAACTGCGTTTTCTATTTTCTAAACCACATTTTCACTTCACAATCAACTTCAGCATCATTCGTGAAATGTCTCTCACAAAGGTGGGTACTTCTGGAACATCCACCTTACAGCCCCGACTTAGCCACTAGTAGTTCCCACCTTTTTTGTCCAGTGAAAACCCATCTTGGTGGAAGACATTTTGCGAATGACGCAGGTTTAGGAGGACTGATAAATCAGTGGGACAAGTGCATCAGTATTGGTGGAAATTATGTTGGAAAAAAAAATAAAGGGATAGTGTATGTGTAAAAAATAAACAGTTTTCAAGTTGTTATCATCTTGAAGTTTTTTTAACAACCATTTGTGAGTTACTTATTGACAACCCCTTTCCCCCCCCCCCCCTTTCCAATATTACATTGGCAGTTATAAGTACATAACCAAGTGGTAAAGCTGGGGTAAAAATAGATAACAAATAACAAATAGTTATATATTATACCTTGGCTCAGCAATTTAATAGCAGTGGAGATTGCTCACCAAAAACTAGAAGGAGACTTGCTTTAGCCATGCCTAGGTTAAATAGTATGAAGAGCCTATGGCGCAACATCAGCAAACAATTGGAAAAATCCTAAAAATATACATCTTTTATGTGGCGACATTCAGAAATCAGTGGTAGTCTTTTATGCATCCACTAAAGAAGTAGAACCGGCAGGAGTTTTGAACTTGACTTTTAAAAGAAGATTTTTAACATATAATGAATTAACTCTTTAAGGCCCAAGCAACGGTGTGAGCGTTGTTTGAGAAGTTCCGTTTTGCCCAAACAGCGCTGTCATCGTGGATCGTGTGTCCCGTACATTTTGCTTTGCACATGCCTCCGTATTAGTTTCTAATTTTCGGAGGTACGATTAAACTATTCAGGGAAAGTCACTCAGCGGAAATCCTTTTAGTTTAATTTCCTAGCCTAAACCACACGTGCATAATTTGAAAAATTAACAGCGAAATTTTTTTCAACAGTGTATTTTCTAAGTTCGTTTTCGAGTGCCATGAATACCAATGTTCCAGCCACAAGTACAAGTCGCAGAATGCGTCTTTCTGCGGCCGAAGCTCTGAAATTGTTTTAGTCAGATGTTTTTAAATCTGAAAATGATAATGAAAATTTAGATTTTTCTGAAAGTGATTCAGGCGGTGATTTTTCACCAGCGAAGCTGAGGGGTCAGCTGTTCTGCATCTAGTGATTTTTTTTTTTTTTTACACAGATAATGTCCCATTGCTACTGTAAGAGAAGGAATGTGCTCTAAACAAAGAGATTGTACTGTACTATGGCTAAGCTACATTGAAATCATCGCAGTTACAGTCTGTGAATTACTGTACAAAGTAAATAGTAAAAAGCATGCGTGTGTAATGGCTCATTTTTCGGCCATTTTCTAGCTGAAATTTTGCTCATCACTCTGTGAGAACTAAGAGCTCCTGAGTATTTCTTTTTCTTCTTCGCGTTCACCAGCTGCAAACTCCGGTGGAAAGTTCTGGTTGTTCATCCACTTCTGGACTGCAGTCCTTTTCCAGAACCTGAGTTTTGCGTGTGCATCCATTTGACAGATCTGACTCATTTGTGTGCAGACTGCTGGTTCCTTGCCTCTCAGGCAAATGCACTCCGACTTCCAAGGAAGCTCCCAATTAGTCGACTCTTACGACATGCTTTTGGGTAGGCAGTGGGTCTATTCTTGTTTTCCTTATAATAGGGCCCCGGAACCTACATGGGGTGAGCCCCTGAGTGCTAAACTAATCCAGAAACTTATCATAACTTTGGAATTTGTTAGAAAATTGAACAAACTGTGTATAACTGTTCAAAGTAAATAGTAAAAAGCATGTGTGTGTAATAGCTCATTTTTCGGCCATTTTTTCTCTGAAATTTTGCTCAGCACTCTGTGAGAACTAAGAGCTCCTGAGTGCTAAACTAACCCAGAAACTTATCATAACTTTGGAATTTGTTAGGAAATTGAACAAACTTTGAAGTTTTGTTCTCAAATTAAATTTGGATATTCACTGCTCTTATGGCTGCAAAACCGTGGTAAGTGAAGAATTTGTTTGTAAAATGTTGTTGATGTGAAATTACCACCTGCTGAATTCTTCTTTCCTACTAACTATCAACAAATTAAACATACACTTATCATCAGATTCAAAATGTACATTCATTTCTCTTTTTTTTTTAAATATATTTTTATTAATATTTTTATTAGGATTAGAAGTGAAGTATATTACATTCTCTTTTGCCTTTCTTGTACTTAAGAAGAAAATTGATGTACTGACAGTCTTCAAGATCTGAACATAATGGGGCAATTGGCTCAGAGACGGTTTTCTTTCTTAGAAAATTAACATTGGTCAAAATTAAAAACCATAGTTTGGAGAGAACAGTAATGGAGGAAATAGTTCCTGAAAGAAGTGGTAGAAGTTGAGCAGGATTATCACGGGCAAGAGATATTCTTCAAGGACACCTTAGACATGAAAATATATGAGGTGGGACAGTTGGCAAGGGACAAAGGGACTTTCTGGCATGCTATGGTGTGAACGCTGTTCTGCAGTGGACCAGCTACAAGATAAGGAGTTCAATATTGAAGCTTGGAATTAGTCATATTATCAGCAACAGCTGTTGGAGGATGGTAGTCTTTGTTTGTCAGTGGTGAATTTAATGAAGAAATAGTTTGTATAGCCTAGGCACAGTTTTTAATCTTTATGCCCAGAGTGATTATTTATGTGTGTTTGTTGTTGAAGTTTTTGCTGCAGATCAACTGTTTGTGCTGTCTTTCAGAAAGCTATGTGGCAGATGAAATAATAAAATCTCGGGCTGGTGTTAGAGTGCGTGTAGGCAATACAGATGCAGAGGGCAGGATGGTTATGGCAGACGTCTTATGTCGCATGAAGGAACTTGTGAGTGTTTGTCATTTAAGCTTTCAAATATCACATAAAGAAAGCTATGTTCTGATTAAATTTGCCTGGCAAAGATTGTCTAATGTTCTAGTTTACATCTGTCAGCTTCTGATAGCACTTGATGTATACCAGACCGCTGGCCCGATTTTTCAGGAATTTCTTAACCAACGCTATATTGCTGTCCCTAATTTTCGGCCATTTGTGTAGTATGTGAAAAAGATGCGTCACAAACTTAAAATAACTAGCCAATCGTAATCAGATCTCGTGGATAGTCTTCCTAAATGTTCGCCCACGTGTGTTTGGATAAAATTTGTTGTTTTACATGAAAAAATTCTGAAAATTCACAATGAAACAAGCAGCTCATGAACCAAGCACTTCGACAGGAAAGTAAAGTAGGTCTAGGCTTTTCACAGTCCAACGGGTGATTGATATTTTGGTTTATTCAGACTCTCCGGAGTCATAATTTCATGAAGAATATGTTTACAGTTGAAGTGACACATTCAGCTTGAATAATGAAGAGAATCTTGAAAATTATAAATCTAGAAATAGATCGGTAGTAAGAGAAGGGGGTGTGTCCCTCAAACAGCAACATCTGGTGCTCACTTTGTGAAACAATACTGATCCCCCTGAGTGGATTGGCACACAAAGGTGGAATATTGGCTCTAGATAAAAGATAAGCTTATTTTCTACAATGTCTCCAAGTTTCATCTTATTCTAGCCACTTGTTTGCATGTAATGAATATTTTTGTATATCATGTTTGTTTTTTCGCATAAATGCCCAGGAGCTCAGGTATAGGGGACAGTTAAATTCAGGGTCTCAGGTTTGGTTGGGTTAATTATTAAAATAAAGGACTTTTAATGACAATTTTTTTTCAGTTTTTCGTTAAGTGTCAATGATAAAGGTAGTCTCATGGCACATACTGCCGTTGGGTTGTGAAAAGTTATCTTCTATTCTGTTAAGTACTCCATGGCTGTTAAGTTCATCTTCATCTGTTTAAAAATAACTAAGGAACATATTTATCATTTTGGTATCTTCTCATTTTCTTCTGGAGAAGAACTATGACTAAAAAGCTCCTTCTTGATATGAACCAACTATACAACAGTAACAAAGGGTACTTCAGTCACAGCGCCCAACAGGGGGTCACATGAGAAACTACAAAAAAATAAAGGATGGTAGTTAGGTAGGTAATTGTACCCTACCAGGACATCACACAAATGATAAACACCTGGTAACACAAAGTGCCGCACAAAGTGCGGATGAGGATCACCCGTGGAGAAGTCCCAGAAACCCCTTTGAGCCATTAGGCCATATCTATGCCCCGGGTACAATTCCCGCCCAAGTGATGTGATTGTATATATACAGATGGCTCTGGTGAGGGGCAGACGAAGTGCATGGGGGTTCATAGCGAAGGCGAATGGACATCGCTTGGCGCAACAAAGCCTGGCATATGATATCACAACATCTAATCACTGCTGCCTTCCGTTGGCTTGAAAATCAGCTGTACACACATGTCGTCATTGTAACTGACTCACAGAGCATGCTGAGAAAGGTGGAGACAGGCATGCTCTGTTCGCGGTGGTGGAAATAAAGAAAGGCAGATAGCTGGCCGGATCTGCGCCACTTGGGGGGAATTTGTATGAAAAGCTGGATTGTGGGGGCCCCTTTTTTGGGCGAGGTAAAATTTGGGGGGAAACAGATAGATCATTCCCAGATGAGGAGAATAGCCCCTGTGGGGAGTTACAAAGGGGGATTGGCCGGAAGCTGAAAATTGGGGGGAGGGGGGGGGGAGACGGTTTTTAACTTCCAAGGACGTTAATGGGTCCCAACCCAAAATTTAACTTTTCCCCTTGCCTGTGAAGAGGGGGGACAGGTGCTTATGGGATGTCCCGATTTGCTGGGGATGTCGATTCTTAATTAAAAATTTTTATCCCCCCAGCATATTTGGGGCCCCCGGAAAAGAACCCTGGTGGGGCTTCCCAAAAATAAAAAAAAATTCCCCATCCCAAGAGGGGGATAAACTTGGATTAAAAAGGGAAAAATAAAAAAAATAGAAAAAAAGTTAATGGGAAAATAAAAATAAAATAGAAGAAAAAAAAAGAGAAAGTAGAATACAAAGGGTTTTTTGATCCAAAACTGGGTACTGATAAGGTTTTGAATGGGAAATGATAAATATGTATAAAGTTTAAAATCCCCTTAACCCAAAAGTAATAATCAAAAATTTTAAAATAATAGGGACAGTAGAAAAAACTTTTTGATGAAGGGTTGGGTGAACTTTGATGCTTTTTTGATACTAAAATGGGGGGGCAGACGCTTAATGCCGACAGTTTTTACTGTTGTCACTTTGTTTTTTTTTAAATTTTGGGTACTTTTTTTAAGCTTTTTTGTTATTTTTTTCCCCAGACCATCTTGGATTGGGGTTGCCCCGGTTTTTACCGTTTGAGTCGGTATGGGGGGGAGAATCTTTTGTACGGGTCGGGGAAGGGACAGTGTTTTTTAGCAGCCGGTTTTGGGGGAGAAACGGGGGTTAAAACCCCCTTTTTAACGGGGTTTTTGCCGTCAAAATTTGGGGGAGGATGGGGAAAACCTCGTTTCCCACTTGGGCTCTCCAATGGGGGTGAAAAAATGGGAAAATTGGGGGCGGGATAAAAACCGGGGAAGGGAACACTAAAAACACTGGGAGGGGGTTTGGCCCAAAAAAGGGCCCCTACCCGGTTTGGACACCCGCGAAAAAACGTAGGGGACGGGCCTAGGTGAGCGGTTTGGGTGTTCTTAGGGGGAAAAGAGTTTTCTTTCCCTTTAAAAAGTCCAGGGGTTTTTCCGAGGTTGGTTCCCAGGTTCCCTTTTGCCCCCTGAAATAAAAAGCCCAAAATGGGTAGGGGAAAAACCAAAAGAAGGCTTTTTTTCCCTTGGTATTTTCCAGGCATGGGGACTTTTTTAATTCCGCTGCCGGGCCGGGCTTTATCTAACGGGGACCCCTTCAAAAACCAACCAAAGTCGTCTTTTTTCTTTTTGGCCGAAATTTTATAACAAAACCGGTAATCCGGGGCAGGGGGAAAACCACCCCTAGGGT